AAGAAATGTAAATGATTTTTAAAGAAAAATAAATGAAAAATGAAAAAAAACACCCTTTCAACTTATCTTTCATAGCCTAAATCGAAATCCAGGTCCAGAAAAGCGTTCCCTAAAGAAAATAAGCAAAAGAACTGGTAATGACATTCCAAAAACAAAAAAGAAAAAAAAACCCCACCATAACTTACCTTTATGGCCAAACTGAAATTCAGATCCAGGTAGCATTCCTAAAGAAAAGAAGCAAAAGAAACGTTAATGGCGTTCCAAAGATAAGGAAGAAATAAAAACAATACCCCCACACCACTTACCTTCATATCCCAAGCTGAAATCCAGGTCCAGAAAGGCGCTCCTAAAGAAAAGAAGCAAAAGGAATGTTAATGGCATTCTAAAGACAAAGAAGAAATAAAAACAATACCCCACACCACTTATCTTTATAGTCCAAGCTGAATCCAGGTCCAGGAAGGCGTTCCCTAAAGAAAAGAAGCAAAAGGAACGTTAATGGCGTTCTAAAAACAAAGAAGAAACAAAAACAATACCTCTACACCACTTACCTTCATATCCCAAGTTGAAATCCAGGTTCAGGAAGGCGCCTCCTAAAGAAAAGAAGCAAAAGGAACGTTAATGGCATTTCAAAGACAAAGAAGAAACAAAAACAATACCCCATATCACTTACCTTTATAGTCCAAGCCGAATCCAGGTCCAGGAAGGCGTTCCCTAAAGAAAAGAAGCTAAAGGAACATTAATGACTTTCCCAATGATAAAAAAAAATAAAAGCACCAACTTACCTTTATAGCCCAGCTGAAATTCAGGTCCAGGAAGACATTCCCTAAAGAAAAGAAGCAAAAGGAATGTTAATAGTGTTCTAAAGACAAAGAAAGACAAAGAAAAACAAAAAAAAATTTACATTTAACTTACTTTCATGACCTAAGCTGAAATCCAGGTCCAAGAAGGGGTTCCTAAAGAAAAGAAAGAAAGGAATGTTAGTAACTAAAAAAAAAACCAAATTTACCCCCTATTCCAATTAATCCTAAATTCTGAAGTCCAAGTCCATGTTCATGTCTGATCCTAAAGAAAAAAAAGGTGTTTTTTTTTTAAAAAAAAAAAAAAATAAAATAAAATGACTGGATTATCTGATCAATCTAGTCATCCGCATAACGTCTGATCAATCTGATATTATCTGAGAATCACATTCGGATTATTCGCAATCTGTTCATTCATAATCTGAATGATCCGTTTTTTGATCAGATCGGATGACGGATTGAACAGATTTCACTAGAGCATATCTCTAGTCTGAAGGATATTAGTTTCATTAGAAGGCTAAAAAATATATATTTTACTCTGATTATAATATATCTACTGCTTCTACCTGTGATCAATATTTACTACATATCAAAGGATATTATATTACTTAATACTATAATAGATTATAGACTAAAGCTTTAAAATTAAAATATACTGAAAGTATAATAAAAATATAATATATATACTATTTATATATTTTTGTTAGATTTATTTAAATTATTATTTTATAAGTTAGAGTTTGCCAAAACTATTTTTTTTCTTTGGTTAAGATTTGCTTATCTTATTTGCTTAATCTGATAGGTTTTCTTTTTCAAATTATAGTAAGAAAAAAATAGAAAAAGTTAGAACAATTTTGCAAAAACTGATTTATTTATAAGATAATAAGGACTATTAGATTTTTTTCATTAGACTTAAGAAAATGATTAGAATTATTTGTTCTAAATTTTCTTTTTATATTTATTTTTAAGCTGCATAAAATTTCTAGAATTTCAAAAAGTATATTAAAAAAACTGTTAGACTTATTTATGAAAGAATAAGAACTATTAGTTTTATTTTTATTAGATTTAAGAAAACTGTTAAATTTATTTATAGAATAATAAAAATGTTAAACTTATTTTTATTAAACTTATTATGAAATTGTTAAATTTAAGAAAATAGTTAGACTTATTTATAGAATAATAAAGACCATTAGACTTAAGAAAATCGTTAAATTTATTTATAAAATAATAAGAAAAATAGACTTATTTTTGTTAAACTTATTTAATAAATATGTTAATTAAGACGCTATCTCTTGTAAAATTAATTTCTAAGTAAATATAGAAATTAAGATTCTAAAGCTATTAAAAATTATTCTAATATAATAAAAAATCAATATAATTCTTAGATTTGAAGAATTGTTATATATAATGTGAAGGATATTTGTTTTAAAACTTCTAAACTTATATTGTATAAAATAGTTGAAGTTAAAGATGGTCATCACAATTAAAAAAAATGGCGTAATTGAGTTACAACTTGTGGTGCAATTAAATTTTCTTATAATACAATTAAATTGCAACTCAATTGAAATTTAAAAATAATTATAGGAATCATTTTTAGTTGAAGTAGTAGTTAAGAGAATTTTAAAAAGAATAAACAATAATAAAAAATTTTTTATATTGATAAAGTATAATACTCTTAAATAATTATTTACAATTTATTTTACTAATAAATTAAAATTTAGATAAATTTGTAATTTGAATTATTATTAATCATTTTGACAATAAGAAAAAATAATCAATTACATAATAAATAATTTTAGTAGTTATAGCAATAATAATTTTAACATAAATATAAAGAAGAAGAAGGATATTTTGCTTAATAGTTTATATAGATGTGTATTTTTATGATACATTTAAAGAATTACTTATCAGCTGAATATTAAATTACTTGTAATATATTCAAATGACATTTATTAGCTGAATGTTAAACTATTTGTTTATCTCAGATTCTTACTGAACTTTATTTGTATTTATCTAAGAAATGAATTAAAACATTTATACATTCTATTCCTTCTATATTTTTTCAATAAATATACTAAAAAACTAACAAAATAAAGGCTAATTATTTTCAGATATTAAAAGATAAGAAGAAAATAATCAAATTGTAAAATAAATAAAAATATTAAAATAAATAAAAAATCATAATTTTACTTAAAATTATTACTAAATAATTTATAATGGATTGTGAAACTCAAAATTAATTTCACAATCAAAAATCAAAAAATTGATTTTAAAACAATTTATAAGTTTTAAATGAATAAATATATGTAGTAAATTATTTTAATCATTTAATTTATGCCTTTTATATATATTAGTATTTATTCAAGATGTATTCATATTTTCAAATACATGATTTTCATAATGTAAAGATTTTATATTTTTAACAATAATTTGATATTTAATGATCCATGCATTTTCAGACTCATTTCCCTTCCATTATCACCATAGAATTCTTCAACTTAGGGTGATCAAGTTATTAAGTCTCTACTCAAAGTTTCTAATTGCAGCTTTACTATGCTTAAGATGTTAGGATCTGCTTAATTCTTAACTTTATCAATTTACGTGTTAAATTCAAACAGATCTATCAAGTATAAAGACTTGAAAGATGAGATTACGAATGATTTAATTAAAAAATTCAGATAACGAACTCAATTACAAATAATGTATAAGGATCACGTCAGACTATATGAAGACACAAAGAGGCAAAAAGATATAAATTTTGAATGATTCCTTTATTAATATTGAAACTCAATTGTTAATCTGTAAAAGAGTTAATTTACAACATGAGCAAAAAGTCTATCTATTTATATAAGATTTCTTTTATTACGACTAACTATTTACTATACTATAAACTAATTATTTTGGTAAATAAAATATATAAATAAAAATACGTAAAATAATAAAAATATAAAATATAATAAAAATAATAATGAAAATTAGAATATTAAAAATAAGTATAACACTAAATATTCCTAAACTTCGTTTAATTCGTAAAATTAGGATTATCATCAGTATTTGAAAGATCTGCAGAATTACATAGATCCTCTGTATTTTTAGAATTCGCAAAATTCTCAGTATTTTCAGAATCCTGAATTAGAAGATCGTTATACTGCGTCATCTATGTGACTTTATTATGATTGGTCAATTGCTCCGTTGATACTATAGAACAACACTCTTCTTTTCAAAAGGATCAATATATATTTATAACAATTGTTGCAATTGTATTTTTACATTATTATCTATTTAATTAAGACATGCATATTCATTTTTTGTATATTCATAAATATTTAGATATCCTATTCTTTCTCTATTATAAAAATTTCTTGTAATTCTTGAGATAGTATTATCCTGACATTCAATTCCTCTTGATTTTTCATTAAGACTTATAAATACGACAAGATATGGTAGAGGATAAGGTGTATTATTACAAATTCTAATAGATTTAACAGTATTTACTTACCAATCACTACTGTTATGTTTTGTTCAATTTTTGATCTGAATATCAATAAAAAAATATGTTATTATGTTGAATTTTTGTATCATTATTTGAAACTACTGTAATTGGAATAATCAGATCTACTATTTATTGATCACACTTGCAAAATACTGCTACCTTATGAAAAAAAATTTAACAAGCTTTTCTCTATTAAGAGTAGTGTTGGTATATATAAAGTGATTAAATCTTATCTTACCATTATGAAATACTAAACCATTATCATTTTTATTGAGAACTGAATTAATTTCTTTATAATTTTTTTTTCCAATAAATGTATCTTTTACTATAATTAGTTGTGAATATTTGTTTCATCTGTTTTGAAGCTCAGATTTTGATTGAATCACCTTATTAAATGCTATTAAATATAAAATCCGTCCAACAAGCTCATCTTATTTACCTGTATTGATAATAATATGATTTTTAACTGAATATATTACATTATCTAAAATTTGTTTAAGGATTTTAGAATAACTCATAATATGACTAGCTGTTTTTGCTAATATTGGCTCACTTGGATATATAGTAATTAGTGATTCACATTTATCATCTACATATCGTAAGATTCTCATTGATGGCTAACTAATTTAGATGCTTGTTGTGAAACTCTACAAATTTTCAAATATACTCGTACTCTAAGAATTGCTAATGATTGTTCTACTGTTAATTTTATTGATTCAATATCTCCATTTTCATAAATTATAGTTGCTGTTTTATAATCACATAAAAGCTTTGCCATTGCAAATTCCACAACATAAAACTTTTCAACATTTGTCCATAAAGGACATTCCATATTACACATCTGCTGTATTGCTGAGGTAATTATAATTTTAGTATTTTTTGGTTGAAGCATTTGACAATCAAAAGTATCAAAATGATAAAATGGTTTATACAATTGTTTTTCTTCCAAAAATACTCTGTATGATAGATCATTGTAATTGGCAGGTAAGAAATTTGAAACTCTTGAAAGTGTATCTGTGAAAAGAGCCAGAAAATGATGGTCTTTGACTTTAAATTTATGTGGAATTTGCTGTAATGCTTTTCTCATGTAATAGAAATTATCCTTTTCATCAGAATAATTGTGATCAATCAATGTGCAAGCTTTATCAAAAGCTAATAATATCTTTAATGAAGAAAAATTTTCCATTTTATTTAGAATGGGTATTAGCTTTATATATTCATCTTCTATTTTTCCCACTTCTAAAGTACCTTGCGATTCCATTTCTTGCATCACATTCCTTCAAAAACATTTTTACAATTCAAACAGTTTTGCATCAGTTCTATCACTAATGAGAATGTCAAACATATGATCACATATTTTGCCTGAATGTTGCATTTTAAGCTGCTTCAAAAATTCATAATACACCTTAAATAAAGCTGAAAGAAACCTCTTGTAATAGGTTTCATCGTGTGCTTCATTGGTTAAATAATCAGTAATGGTTGAACGATTTGGGTAACCATGCTATTCACGTAGACAAATGTAGATTACTAAAACATCTTTATCAGTTGCTAATTCCCGCAATAGACTTGACTTTCCTGTCCCACTCGCTTGTACAAGTGATGTATAAGGGACGTAGAATTTATTCGGTTTTCACACTTTTGCACATCCCTCTAAATGGTTCAAAAAGGCATCAACATAGTCTTCTCCAAGTTTATTCAATTCTCTCTTAAATGCTATTTTCAACTTAGTATAGTCTTCTCTCATTGATGTTTGTTTCTTGTAATCTCCAAACTTTTCTTCTTTTATATAGGTCATTGATAAAGCAAAACAGAAACAAAAAAAAAATAGGTTAGCAACATTTCAAAACAATAATATGTATATAAATAAAAACGAAATGAACGAAAAAATAATTTTCTGTATATGTTTTACGCAATTTGTTCATTACTTTCTCTCCACGTAACACTTCTTGATACAACATTTCCCATTTGTCTCTCCTCTTTTTCAGCTTTTTCTTTTCATTTTCTAACTCCTCCTTTTCTCCTTCGTATTCTTCATTCTCTATTCCCCTCTTCAAATTGTTCAACCTTTCTCCCCACTCCTTCTTGTACTCTTCTTTTGCATCATTTAATTCAGTTTTAATTTCTTCGTGCGTTGTTATTTTTAAAAAAAAATTTTTTTTGATTTGATCGATCAAATGAGACATTTTTTGATTATAGGTTGGTTGTACAAATCGTTAACTTTTTTGAATATTCGGTGACTTAATTATTATAATTTTACCTGTGATCATGTATTTATTACTTTTAAATTCAAAAAATAGATTTATATTAAATAATGGATTGTATAAATAATTTTATTAAAAATGAACTTCTTTATATATTTATTTTAATAAGAAATCAAATGTTGACAATAATGACTACGTAGTAAACTAATGCGATCACCGGATCACAATCACATGAAATAATTTGCAAGAATCATTAATCACATATTTTAAATTTTATTTGAATCTCATCAAGAAGTTTAGAATTAACAAGTTCTTCAACAATCGGTTGTTCACTCATATTCGTTTGATCAATTGCCATTGCTGAATTACTAATATTATGTATTGATGATTTTTGTTTTTTGGCAAGATTTTGGGCTGTTGTTTTTAAATTATTTATATTGTTTGGATCTTCTATTCTTATAGTCTTAATTCTTGACATCGAATTAGTATCACCATCCCATTGTCTAATTTGTTTAATAAAGAAAAATAATCAGCTAATTTAATAACTTTGGAATTTAAAGTATTTTCTTATTTATATAATAAACTAAATTTACCTTAAGATCTTGACATTTTTCGGATCCATTAAATTTGGAATTTCTTTAATGATAAGATTGTTGGATTTGTGTTATTCATACAACACGAGATAAAAGATTTTCGAAATATTATAACGTACCAAATCCTTCCATATACTCTCTTTTCTCTTTCAATTTCAATGCATCCAAAAGAAATTGTTTTGATGATTTGGTTTTATGTACATATTTTGGCGAATCAAGATTTGATATATCATCATCATTGCGAGCTATGTACCTATTGTACAAACCAAATTTAAATTAATATTAAATTAAGGTAATGATAATTTAGTTAACCCTTTTATTACATTTCTATTAAGTCATAAACTTCAGCTTTTGTTGCACACGGAAGTGCATCATCAAGTGCATATCTAAACCATAATAACCGTTCGACTAAAAGGATAATTATTAGATTTTCTTGATTGATAAAAAAATAATTTCAACAGAAAAAAGAAGGCGCGAAAATTAAACAAACCAATTGGTTGAGCTTCAGATATCCTTCGAGCTTTATCTCTTTCTAGACGGTCTTTGCGTAAAGTAATTCGTTGAAGTTGAGCTGCTTTACGACTAGAAGGGTGAATTATATAGTTTTTGTTTTTGATTTGTTTGAACGTATGACGTTTATTATTTGGCTAGTTTATTAAATTAAATACAATTAATTAA